ATGAAACTTGCTTCTTCTGCCTTGACGTAGATGATGCAGCCCACACATTGTTTTTCTGCCCTGAATGGAATAATGAAAGGGTTACTTTGACCAACATTGTGGGTAATTTCAATCAGGAAAACTTCATTCACACTATGATTCGGAATATTCCTAATTGGAACGCTTTTGTTACCTTTATAGATACTCTGATGAAGAAAAAATTAAAATTCGAAAATGATTTACAAAGGATTAATAGAAGACGTATTCCCGTCTGAACCCCAGTCACAATAGACGACCGTTACCTAGAAGAAGAAGGCCAATTAGGATTACAGGTAAAAGTGTGTTACGAGCCCGGGCCGTAGCAACGCGAGAGGCCGGTGAGTTTAGGTTTTCCAAGGAATATGGTATCAGTTTATTAGTAAGGTGCGCGGACGAATCTGACGCGAAGCCAGAGAGCCGCTAGGATGTTTAAAAACGAGGACGAATCTGATGCGAAATCAGGGAGCCGAGGAAGGTGAAATTCGTTAACGAACCCAATGCGAAATCGGAGAGCCACTGGGTTGGAAATACTCTTGGAAAAGTGTAATGCACGGACGAACCTGGTGCGAAATCAGGGAGCCGTTAGGAAATGATAGTTAGTTCCCCGTAACCATTGAATTTATAATTAATACAATTCGAGCGGCGAAGTTGTATTAGTGTGGGAACGGTCGACCTGATATTAGTCTAAACTAGAGGAAACTAGTATATCGATAATACTACAGATTTCTGGATCGTGTTATGGATTCAAAATAAACTACACAGATTTATAAAATAACAGTATAATTAATCAGTCTTTGGTTACAAATGTGTTATGTAGTGTTGTCGCGTACTAGTAAGTAATGATGAAATAATAACTATTACCGAAATAAATAGGTGCTCGGTGTTAACGCACTGGCGTTGCGGGGGTTGCGAATGGATTTTACGGAATAATGCCAAAGTAATAATTTTAGTCGGAATACAAATAAAGTGTTCTTGGTTTACTACAAGTTTCACTGGATTCGAAAGGGAACTTTAGCCCGATCTCACTAACGTAATGACCAACTCACAAGAACGTGACGCGACGTGTCTTTAAAGGTGACGGTAGAGTTCTGATCCCCCGAGGGTTAAAATCAACGGATTTATATAGGCCTAGAAATTGGTGGGGATGCTATGAAATTTCCATATAAGGACATTTTTGACGGTTGAAGTTGCGTCACGCTTCCTAGTCTTTTGGTTACCACGCCGTGGAAACGGATTTTACTCCCTCGATAACTCAAGGGATAACGAAAACGTAAGGACGTTTTCCTTTGCCGGGTGCGAGCGCAGACTATTAGAGCGAGAGGTATGATAGAAAATTTTTCATACGTAACAAGCGATAAATAAATCGGGTCTTCTATAATGTCTAATATATGTCATCGCGTCTTGTGCGCGTTGGTGCATATACCTTGGCCCCCCGCCCCCCTGTAAAAAAAGAAGGTAGTATCAAATTGTTGAATTGATTTTCTCTAACCATTAATCTATAGGCGTAGAAGTTCATGAGAAGTAAAACGATCGAAATATAATGACGACTCTTTAAATTTTTGTAATTTTTCAACACCAAACATCAATGGAACTCTTGAACAGTACTTGTCTCAAAATGAAATAAATATACAATCAGTTGTCGTGTAACTGGTAATACAGCCAGGTAGGGGATGATTTTATGTGAAAAAATAAATAGAAAATATAGAATAAAATTATTTCGTTTGACACAGTTCGTTTTCCAGAAACATGCCTTTGAACATTAATCTAGAACGTACATACATACAATATGTACAATGTACTTGTAACATGGCAATAAATAGAAACGGAATGCAATAACCAGATGCGCTAGCAAAGTCCTATTCAACTGCACTTTATTCACACCAAAGACGAATGAACGATGGCGTATCTTTCAAAAAGAAATACAATTCATAACTCGTTATGATCAGAAAATATGCGGAACATATGTTGAATATCAAAGACAAACATTGCCGTGAATCGAGATTGAATCATGAGATTAGCATAGGTACTGCACAAATTTTCAATAAATATGTTTACATTCTGGAAGTTAGATAACAAGGGATTTAATGATAATTTAATGAAAAGCTTTTATTTTCATAAGACTGTAATAAATAATAATAGAGCAATGGTAATTTTTATGTTGACTTTTAAAAGAGACTTTTCCTAGTCAGGTGATTAACCCTACCGCGATCTAACAAAACGGTACACAATTCGTATTGTATATCTTCAAAAATTTTAGAAAAAATGATTGCAGTATGTACCACGAGACGTGTGTCGTCACTTCGATTACGAGATAAGCGTGTCTCCTCCTAAATACAGTGAGTTACTTTAATATTCGGACACTTTAAAACTTTCACTTTGTCGCACTGTAACTTTATTCGTGATAAAGATAGAAGTTAGTGACTTGTAAATTATATTATTACAAAGGGTCTAGTTTACAAAAATAACAACATTAAGTATGTAGTTCGTAATACTTATTATATTTTCTGTTTTAAACAAAACAATGTCTAATTTTACGTTACTTTAATATTCGGACACTTCAGAAAATTGATAACACTGTTCAAACGTAAAAATTTTTTAAATTTTCAATAAGCTTTTCTGATAGATCTTTGTGAGCTGAATACGAATCTGCAAACCGTTTCTTTCCAGCACGTCCAGTTTTTGGAAAAAAAACAATTTTTGGAAAAATTGCATATATTCAACTTTGGAGCTGTGCTGTGCTTTGACAGTAATAGCTATTTAGTTTCTGTTGACACGAAATGATTCTCTGGACTCTTTCGAACAAAATGGTATAAATTGTTATTGTATTATAGATATCTAAATATGTTTAAATAATGTTCAAAGTGAGAAGGACACCGAAAACGCACCACTTTTTATTGATATTTTCCAATCTGTGTATTTCAAAAACTAAAAATCTAGGACAAAATCTAACCATAGCACGGGAAAGAATAGACCTTTCTCCATAAGAAAGTGACAAAGAAACTTACAAAATCTGTTTTGTTTTAAATAGGGAAGCGAAACAGTTCAGTTACAGTACTTAATGACGGCGGTCGCCTTGCCTAGGCGCGCACGGCCACTAAAATTTTTACTTTGTCGCACTGTAACTTACATTATGTCGAGTTGTAAATTACATTATTAAAACGGGTCTAGTTAACAAAAATAATAACATTAATTATATGTACTTTAAATTTACTTTCATCGCTAAAAATAACGTCATGCCACCATGTATCATCTTAGTAATAATTTTTTATATCATTTTCACAACCAGTAATTTATTTAATATTTTGTATTGGTTTGAGACTGTATACAGAGATTACGATGTTTGTAAACATAATTTACATTCGAATGAAGTATCATAATAGTTACGAAAGAAAAGATTAAATTTTACTAAACAGTTTATTTCAAAAGATGATACATGGTGGCATGACGTTATCTTTAGCGATGAAAATAAATTTAAAGTACATATAATTAATGTTGTTATTTTTGTTAACTAGACCCGTTTTAATAATATAATTTACAACTCGACATAATGTAAGTTACAGTGCGACAAAGTAAAAATTTTAGTGGCCGTTCGCGCCTAGGTAAGGCGACCGCCGTCATTAAGTACCACTGTCGCCGCCGCGTGTTCTGCTGAACTGTTTCGCTTCCCTATTTAAAACAAAACAGATTTTGTAAGTTTCTTTGTCACTTTCTTATGGAGAAAGGTCTATTCTTTCCCGTGCTATGGTTAGATTTTGTCCTAGATTTTTAGTTTTTGAAATACACAGATTGGAAAATATCAACAAAAAGTGGTGCGTTTTCGGTGTCCTTCTCACTTTGAACATTATTTAAACATATTTAGATATCTATAATACAATAACAATTTATACCATTTTGTTCGAAAGAGTCCAGAGAATCATTTCGTGTCAACAGAAACTAAATAGCTATTACTGTCAAAGCACAGCACAGCTCCAAAGTTGAATATATGCAATTTTTCCAAAAATTGTTTTTTTTTCAAAAACTGGACGTGCTGGAAAGAAACGGTTTGCAGATTCGTATTCAGCTCACAAAGATCCATCAGAAAAGCTTATTGAAAATTTAAAAAATTTTTACGTTTGAACAGTGTTATCAATTTTCTGAAGTGTCCGAATATTAAAGTAACGTAAAATTAGACATTGTTTTGTTTAAAACAGAAAATATAATAAGTATTACGAACTACATACTTAATGTTGTTATTTTTGTAAACTAGACCCTTTGTAATAATATAATTTACAAGTCACTAACTTCTATCTTTATCACGAATAAAGTTACAGTGCGACAAAGTGAAAGTTTTAAAGTGTCCGAATATTAAAGTAACTCACTGTAGGTCGCTACGGCACTGACAGTTACCGATTGAGCTGGTGATACCACAGACGAGATATAAGAATAGACCTAACATGCAATGTAAGTTTCTGTCCCATGTTTCGGGAGCGTCAGAAGTCCTCGTACCATATCAGTATTAGATTCCTTGCTAGCGAAACCGAAGCAATAATGTATGTATGTATTGCTATGTATATGCAATCACAGGGGCGTGTATGCTGTGCGTTATCACGGGTCGAATGTTGTTCCTGAAATCGGAAACTTTTATGGAGAAGTGCGCTCGAACCAGCGTGATTTTCGTGAGACACCAAGTCCCATAAGATGTTAGGTCTATTCTTATATCTCGTCTGTGGTGATATATCTGAAGAACGCGTCTTAGTATTTCACTGATATTTCACAGGTATTTTCACCTGTTAATAAATCAAAACTGAAACCGCAAACGCAGTTTCTGAAACGCACTCTGTGAAAATGACCCATATTTTTATTCACACCCTGTATATTGAAACACCAAAAATTAATTTTTAATAAAACAAAGAATTCGACCCAAATTGCGCTTTTTAATGTTACCTTTTTTCTTTCATTTAAAGTGTAATGTATATAAATTCATGTGTACAAATGTAATAATGTTACCCGCAGGGCTGAAAATCTGGTAGATCGTTTTCTGTATGTTCAGACGTTACATAAACTACACGTATGGAATTCGTGAAGCCTGTTCCTTGTCGCGATTCGCTAAGTATAACGATTGCATCGCCTACCTTGATGTACTTTTTTCTTCGAAGAGAATCAATGCCACTTTGTATTCGCGCTTCCATGTCTTTACTCCAATCAGGTAACGGCTCATCTGTATTTACAGGTGCATAAAACGTAATATAAATTGTACTGGAGAATATTACAATTTCAACTGTTAATTTCGTCTTGGGCAGTATGCAGGATATCATAGAACAAGGGTGGCCAACAGTATTGTAAATCGTATATCATATCGTATATGTACCCTCACGAGCAAACTCGGCTTCCACTAGGGGAAAAAGTAACGTAGGGAAAAGTCCTCCTACCACTTGGTATCGGAAATTATTGGAATTCATGCCAAATTCACATTCAATTTAACATTCATATCAGTTGTTGAAATAAATTTATCAAATGGTGGGAGGCCCTTACCCTTCGCCATTTTTTCCCTTCGCGGAAGCCGAGTTTGCTCGCGGGTGTACATCCACGAGCAAAGTCGGCTTCCGTTGGGGGAATAGCAGCGTAGGGGAAAGGCCCCCCACCACTTGACCACAGAAGCCACTGAAACTTACACTACACTTACATGAAAGAACCGCATTCAGTTTAACATTAATTTCAGTTCCTGGGATAAATTTACGAAATGGTGGAAAACTTTTATTCTACGCCGCTTTTGTCCCTAGTGAAAGCGAACTTTGCTCGTGGGTGTACATGTAAAGAAAGTGTACTTTCGATTAGTCGATTAGTCGAATGCGCGGAGTCTCGCGCGAGTGCGACTGTAGAACAGTGTGTAACTGAAACGGCACACCGGCAAAGATTGAAGCAGAGTAGAATAGTTAGATAGAGTAATTAGTAGCAAGGATAGAAAATAGATAAATTAATTAACTTTAATTGTCGTTTTATAAGACAATTACTTCAGGGATTCAATTTATAATCAACTAGAATTTGTCTCTCTGAAACCAAAGTTTTTTCCATTATTTATTTACGTACATTTAGTTATTACATACACTATATACACTATATGTATACACTATATACACGCTCACCTGAAACCAAAGAAACGACAATTAAAGTTAATTAATTTATCTATTTTCTATCCTTGCTACTAATTACTCTATCTAACTATTCTACTCTGCTTCAATCTTTGCCGGTGTGCCGTTTCAGTTACACACTGTTCTACAGTCGCACTCGCGCGAGACTCCGCGCATTCGACTAATCGACTAATCGAAAGTACACTTTCTTTACATACATATATACATTTATAGTTCACGCTGGACGCATGTATGCGTCGATCGTCCGCAAATGGTTCATTTACATGTTTTTCATTACATTTAGCCATTTCTGTTCTATTACCACCAGTTTACCAAGTGTCTAAATAGACACTCACGAGAGATAGTACACGTACCAGGAATTTCATTTGAGTAAGGGAAAATGGTAGTTACTTCTGTAGTGAAATGGATGAAGCCCATAATATAATTGCAGCCATCTCGCCACAACTCCGTAACGTGTGACAGCCAAAATCGGGCACCGTGGATGATACATCGATAATATAGCAGCACTTTGACCAGACGTCGTTGTGATGATAATTGCAGAAGCATTTAATTTTAAGGACGTCTCAATTGCTCCTATAGCAATCGCGTGCTTAGGATCCAAAGGTATTGGCATCTGTGTTCGTATAAGGTGTATTAATATACAGGGTGTACGATCACAGGTGTCATATACAGGGTATTTCACGTAACTTGACCACCTTAAATATATCGCTTATTTTGTATGATAGAAAAAATATCAGGGGAGAAAAATATTCTGTTCGAAGGCGCCAATGCGGTGATGGGCCGAATTTTTTTCTCAAGGTTATTTTTTTCGAGATTTCAAGTACATCGAATTTTTTTTTAATGGGACTACATATTTTCACTACAACACTCTTATAGCATATAAAAAAAGAAATTGAACGAGGTGCAATATGTTGACTTTCACGTGACCTTTAGCGAAAAAATCATGAAATGTTTGTCAGTAAGCTCAGTACGCATTCGGGGACGGTAAATGAAGGAATTTCAATTTCATTGGAACAGTCTTTAGTTAAATCTTTATTTTAGAAGGTGTTCAAAGTGTTCACCATGAACCTGGATACATTTTTGGAGGCGGTAAATAAATTCTTGCTGTACATTTTTAAGTTGCTCTGCAGTAATTGATCTACATTCATGTAGAACCCTTTGTCACATATTTTCTGCCGATGAAAGGAAAATACGAATGTCTGTTTACAGGCACCAGGGACAATTACACGGTACACTGTTCCAATGAAATTGAAATTCCTTCATTTACCGTCCCCGAACGCGTACTGAGCTTACTGACAAACATTTCATGATTTTTTCGCTAAAGGTCACGTGAAGGTCAACATATTGCACCTCGTTGGATTTGTTTTTTTATATGCTATAAGAGTATTGTAGTGAAAATATGTAGTCCCATTAAAAAAAAATTCGATAACCTTGAAATCTCGAAAAAAATGACCTTGAGAAAAAAATTCGGCCCATCACCGTATTGGCGCCTTCGAACAGAATATTTTTCTCCCCTGATATTTTTTCTATCATACAAAATAAGCGATATAGTTAAGGTGGTCAAGTTACGTGAAATACCCTGTATTTTGGGGGTGATTCTATATACCAAAATAAAAAGTAAGAAAATCAAAAGTAACAAAATTGCCGTTGAGCCTCTATTTATTAATTACAAGCGTTTGAAAATTAGAGGGAACAAAAGGGCCTACAGTGCCGTAAGAAATGAATGACGTTCAGAAAACATACTTTATATTCAAACTGTGGAAATTCAACGATATCTGTCGGTGCTAGAAGTATCTGTGTCACCTTGAAAATTTTACAACACCGTTTCGAACGTATTTCTGTACGGATTTTAACAGCGTCTTCCATATAATTTAGTTTAATTGTGTTTGATAGCGTAGCACGTCGACGGGCGTTTTCACGGAATTTGTGACCTTACTAATTCTAAGATCTTTATGTGCGACCTCTTTATAGCTGCGTATCTGTAGATATCTAATACTTGTGTTTGTGTGCAAATTTTTCGGACTTTCGCCCGTGAGGATTTCGTAAAATAGGTAAGTTTAATGCTGTGTGTGAAGTTTCAAAGTGATACGTATACCCATAGCACTGACGCTATCGTCAAATTTCCCAGTTTCGATGAGTCGAATTTTTAAAAAAATGTCTACTTTTGTAAAAATGACGTACATTGGAAATAAAAAAATCGATTTTGGCCTAAATGTATTATTCAAAATTGTCTGTAAAAAAGAAAGTTTTTGAGATATCGAAAAAATGCTACGTACTTCCCCAGCCTTCTAGAATCTAGAAAATGAAAAATTTTTCTTTTGTGTTTTAGTTCAAACCTAGCGAGCGTGATCGACGCCACCGTGGAAACAGTCGGCCGAAAAGGTGTTTTTGTATGAAAAAAAAATATTTTTCTATATTGAATTTTATATGTATATCTATACGTCTGTTTATTGAATTTTTATTCTGTCTTCTTTTATCGAGCTCCAAATTGACACAGATTATTTTTTACTAATTGGAACTATTGCAGGAGCCGTCGCGAAAAAAAACCTTTAAAAAAGTATGTATCAAGAGTAAATAAGATGTACATAAGTATGTATACCTTGTAGCTGAGTTCATCAAAAATTTCTTTTTGCCAACGTGCGCTTTCTGCTTCTCTACATACAGCGTCGACATTATTTATTAACTCAGTAGTCTCCTTTTCATTTAAACTTCCAGTTTTAAGAAAAATAGCATCAACCCCATTCAGAACAGCGTTCGCAATTAAATTTACATCAAGTTCTGGTACTTTGTTCTTCAACACTTGGAAACTAAATATAATAGGTTTTCCTACCTAAATAACATAAATACATAAAACACATGGTTCCATTTACCAATAATACTTCAAATTGCTAGAGAATTTTTCTTATAAAATTCTTGTGTGTTAAAGCAAGTAGTTATCGTAATGTTTAGTTCCCTACTGAATTACATATACATATGTAAGTACATAGTATCTACATTTTTCATATTTCCATAATATTATTTTCTTTTCGTTTATTAATTTTTCCAAGGTTTCTGTATATTTGTTAATTATTAAGCAATTCCAATCTTTGAAAACAGCAAAATAGTATTTATGATCTCGATTAATAAAGTTCCTACTAAAACTGTATCGATTATAGTTCGGGTTGGAAACAGAATTTATTTTAACTGAAATGCACATGGTAATATCCTCGAGCGAAAATAATTTTTTGTTCAAACTATCATGAATTTGTAGAAAAGTAAAAACTACTAAAAACGTATCTGTTTGTTTTTGTATCAAAAACAGTTTGAAGAGGTGAAACGGCCCCTAAAATTTCGCTACTCGGAACATACTTTATCTGGTTACGTGTAAACAATAATTTTTGTATCGAGAAAATAAAAAAAATGTATTATCTGTGAATTTTAAAAAAAAACCTCTCCCTCTAAGAATTTAATAATTTTTTTTAAGTTATTGTAATATCATTATATATTACGATATTGAAGTTACTATCATTTTATCGCAATATAATTATAATTATGTGTATTCACCCCTTCAGGCATAAAACATACGTTAACGTACCATAATTTCAGGTCAATTTTACAATCACGCTGTGTCCCATTTATCATAAATAACTGCCTTTTCCTGATTCCTATAAGAGTTTAATAATCGAGTACTTACTTTCATACAGTTAGCAGTGAGTATTTTTTCTACAAGGAACAGTTTCTCCGGTCCTACATCAATCTCGATACTGGCTCTGTCAAGGAGAATACCGTCCGCTGCTTGCAAAATTTTGTGAAAATTGTGTAAACCTTGTTGCGAGGAAATCTTCGCGATAATACAGATTCTAGTAGTACCTATACAAATAATTAAGAAAAATTTCAAGTATGTACTTTGAATTTACATTTAACCTGGAATTTAAAATACTTTGAAAAATGGCTGTACGAAATTTTGTGTAATACCCTTAGGAAATATTGATTAGGATTTAAGGTAGAGTCACATGAGCATTACAGTAACGAATGTTAAATCGGTGCACTACACTACTAACAAGGAAAGTTATTCAGATGTTAAATTAGTTTTGACAAAAATAATGGTTGAAAGTTGCAGGACTCGATCTAAAAACTAAAATAAGTATCACTCGCCCAAAAATAGAAGGGTAAAACATAGATAGAATAAACAAATTGAACATACATATTATAGTTATTGGAAAATAAGCCATGAGAATAAGAAACTGCATGAATAACATCTGGAGTCTACTCATCGCTATTTTCGTTTGCCTCGATCGTTTTGCCTTTATAATACTACTCCTTATGTATTCAAGGGACAGAGTTAATACAACTGAAGAATTAAATTAATTATTGCGAAGGACACACTTGACGTACGCATACCCATTTGATTAAAGCCAGTTTTTACTGCTTCCACCATCTTTTCGTTTCGCGTGTGATTTACTATACAGAAGTCACATTCCAAAAATGAAGATAGCTGAATATGTTCCTCGTCTTTTTTCGACAGTTGTGGTAATGCAACGACACTATCTAATAATTGCACAAGTTTTTCATCTCTTACAATACCTCCTTTTAAAACTCTGCAGGTTATGAATCTACTACCTGAATTAAGAGAAAAGTTTGTTTATATGAGTTTCCACTGTTTTGATTTCTTAGATTTTATTTGAGTTAAAATTCCAAGAAATGAATATTTACACATACCACTGTTTACCGTGTATATACTTAAGTAAAAATCGCTCAAGTAATTGAAGTATGTATGTACTGTATTAAGTTTTATAGATTTTTTTATATACATATATGTGCACATTAAACATAGATTAAATAAAAAACTTTGGCGATAGGGGCGTATTTTTTATTCCCCTGTATCATGCAAATGGGTTAACCAAGAATATTAGACATTTCTGCAAACGGTATACTCATTCTTTAAGAAAAAAAGCTTAGAGCCGATATTTCTCATAGCATTTAGCGAGATTTGTATGAATGAAAATTAAATTAGATTTACAACATTAGTATTTTTATCTTGGATATCGTGCATTTTTCAACAGATTGGCGTGAAAGCTATTGGAAGAATTCTTCGGAAATTTCAATCAAAATAATAACTAACAGACACAAGAAACTTGTAATAATACAGCGCCTCTGTCGATGAGAATTTTGTCACCGGGTCGACATATTCGTGATAGTTCAGGGTAAGATACCCAAAAACAACAAGCACTTCCTGCACGTTTCGCAAGATCGTTAGTTACCAATTTTACTGTACGGCCTTCTTTTAACTCAGCGTATCCCTGTAAATACAAATAATTAAAAGATTTTCTAGTGAGAACGCTTAAGAAAATCTGTCACATTGTTCTATTTTTTTAAAGAAAAAAATTCTATTGTTTCGAACTGAACATAAAATTAAATGCTTCTCTTTTCAGCCTTATTTAGCCTGTTAGATCTACAAACTATTTTGTAATTGTTTAATTGATTGTTTATTTTCAGTACAAAACTATGTTCAAAAATAGATATGTTTGAAAGGATTATTAACTCTTTACGAACCCAAAATATTTTTGTCTTATTGTTATTCACTAGTATGTACCTACTTCTGATCAATTGATCTTCACGTAACTCTTTAACTGGTTCTGACGTTTAAGATAATTTTACAAGTAAAAAATATTGTAGGTAATTACCAGACTGAAACCTGTTTCTAAACAATTTACGCGGTGTTGTCGTAAAATGTATTTTTATTTCAAATAATCTGTGTCCTAGATTCGCTTTAATATGAACAATCAAAATATATGGTAATTTAACTCTGTATCGTTTCAGTTCTCTGCAACTGCAATAAAAATAAATTTATGGGATAGTAACTGAAAATCATACTATGCTTGTTTCATCTCCGTGGAATATACCCGTTCGTATTTCAGGACCTCGAAGATTCATTGCAACTCCTAGAGGGTAAATCTCACCCGTGAATTCATACATTCTATTCCCAGCGTCTCTGATAGACTGTACAGTGATTGCATGCCATTTCTCCATTTGATGGGACATGTTCAAACGAACGATGTTTGCGCCCGCCATCATCATATTAACGATAGCTCCAGGATGAGAATTCGTGACACCTACATTGAACGGTAAGAAAACATAGACAACAATGTCATACAACATAGAAGTAACCTACACGATAGAAACTTATTTTTCATAATAAGAGTGTCCCATAAGTGATAGTACACGCGAAAAGATGGTGATACGACGTGAAAAAATAAAATATAAGTGCAGAATAAAATTCTATCGCAACTAACATTTTCAAGATAATTGAGTTGCAAGACACTTCACAGGGTGTTTGTTTTAATTGCACCCGGAGGAATATTTCATAAGCAACAAACGGTATCGAAACAATGTTTTTACAAAAATTATTTGGTATGAAGGGGGACATAATGTGGTGTAAATAATTTTTTTCTAGGTAAAGCACTGAGGGAAGATTAGTTTTTTTTAAATAGAAAGCCATATTTTTTTTGTTCATAATATGATAGTGTTTGTTGAGACGAGTTCAACGGTGTTTCATATAAGGTCGTTAAGTGTAGTAGAAGGTCGTAAATTTGGGAAATTCGAAGGAGTCAGATGAACGTGATCACAAGTCGTGTGTTACCAAACCTTATATGTATTACGTAACCGTCCTAAAAAATAGCACCAAATCCGCGAATCACATTGATTTGACTACTTAACACATTAAGGACCGCTCACGAGTTTTCTCGTGTTGCGCGTCCCGTCTGTTACGGATGGATCACGAAATAGCCCGTGTTTTTTACACGCTGTCTTTAGATGTCACCTACTTAGATACATTATTAAAAAACATAATTTTTTTTCAATAATACCTAGAATGCATCCTATTATAAAATTTCTGAAAGTTTAACAAAAATCGCTTCATAAATAACAAAGTTATGTTGATTTTAGAATGTACAAGTTTGCCCAAAAACGTGCGGTCCCAGGCGTATGTCTTACAGATTTCTCTGCGGTCCTTAATGTGTTAACATCTCACTAATTTACGATCTCGTACTACAATCAATTGCCTTGTGCAGCACATTCTTTTAACTCGTTTCGACAAACATTACCATATTATGAAAAAAAATACAGCGTTCCATTTAAGAAAATTAATTTGACCTTGAAATATCCCCCACTGCTCTACCTACAACAAATGATTTACACCACATTGTATCCCCCTTCATTCCAAACACTTTTTGTAAGAACATTTTTTTTTATCCCGTCAGTTCCTTGCAAGATATTCCACCGGGTCCAATTGAAACAGACGCCCTGTATGTAGGTTGCGGCAAATTTTGTGGTATAAACGAGGACAGAGTGATTTCTACCGCAAAAATAAACGAAAAGATTAAAGCATACCTTTCTTTTTTCAAAACTTTGTTTTCAAGAAAATGAAATTTGACAATTCTCCGTGCACGTGTGCTTTTCAGTACGACTGACTAATATGTCTGACTATTACTCGATTCTTCTACTTATAATAAATACACATTCATTAATAAATAATAAGTATGTGCGGCACACTTTCGCAGAGTGGATTCTAGATATAAAACTAAGATCAAAATTAAAAATGACAAAATTGCGTTCGAGGCTCTGTTTTCCTAGTTATTAATTGTTGAAATATGGGAGAAATAGTACATAAGGTCAATGTCCCTATTTCTAATTATGTAAGAGTTCTGCTGTTGCAGAAATTGATTTTTATTATTTATTTATGCAACATTCGACATGAAAATTCATTAACTATAAAATTTAAACCTTCTTTTACAACTTTGTATTATCACGAGCGAAAATTTTGTATCGCAGGTGTGTGTGCAACGACAGAGCGAGCCACTACCGGGACAACGGGACGAAGACCTGTTAGCGGTAAGCCATCCATTTCATCTCTGGTGATTCTGTAGTTGATTGCGGTAGATTCGAGACGAGTTAACATCGGTCAACTCCTCACCTTGGGTGAGGAGTAGAGATGGCGTGAACTGCTACTTGTCAATCACTCGTGATTCGATCACGTTCGTTCCCAATCACGGTGATTTTTCACAGTGATTCGTGATTTCTCGTGATCGTTTCTGATTGACGGAGAAACCTAACAGTTCTTTACACGCGACACATAATCTGTATATTTTATATTAACGACATCAAAATAAAAATTCGAGTTATATCGTGTACAGTGAAGGAATAATTAGAAACAATGAAGAATAATGAATAAATTAATAATTATAAATTATAATCTATATGTTACCTAGCAATTCATTCTTTTAGAATTTCTTGTTTTTTCTACTGATTTTTACAAACACGAATAGTAATGTAATTCATCATAAAATCATATTGAATACGTTTTTCTGTTTAAAGATCAAGGACTTACGATCGCAGTGAGCAAATTCACTCAAGAGAAAAAAATCGCAATCACGGTCGTGAATGAAATTAAATCACGATAGTGATCGTGATTCTGCGATCACTGTGATAAATCACCGTTAGTGATTTTGCAACTGTGGCGGCTTTAGGACTGCCACCACGCCCTTGTTTCTGTGCATTTAGTTTTTAGCGTTTCTCACGGTCTCATGCGAGCCTGGTTATTGTCATGAACATTTGCTAACCAGGTTCGGGCGAGACCCGGGGTCTTACAGCTACGGCCACTTTTATCGAGGGTCTTTGGGTTTTCCTAAAGGTCCTTCTTTGTTAAGCTTTTCTCTGTTTTAATTTTAACTTCCCGTTTAGGGCGCCGTGAAGGTCGAGTGCCCGTGCACATTTGGCGACCAGCTTGTGCGGTCCTTGTTGTACCCTTGATTTCTCCTTTTTACCATTTCGACACTTTCTCCGAGTTTCCCGGCATTTTCGGTTTCCTCCCCAACGTCGTCTGTCTTTGTTTTCACTCTGTCTATCCTTTTTCTTTTCGTCCTTTTTAAGTGAGCGGGTAAGGACGAGCGCGGTCAGTCTGGCTATACCGAGGTTCTGAACAGAACTTTGTCGCGAGCGCAAGGAACTTGTATACCAATAAACTAAGTATCACTGAAACGTGTTCATTACTGCTCTACTCCCTGTAATCCCACACAACAAAACAAGTAAATTTTTTATGAGAGGTCAGAGGCTAGACCTTTATTCCCTTCAATTTTCAATAGTCCACTTCTGAAGCTAACTGCAGTCACCGAGTGAACGCTAACTGTCGACCGCGTGTTCAATAATATAGTGTATAATATATTTATATATATTATTAGATAATATTATATAATATAATGTATAGTATACCATATAATATATAAACGGAAGTGCAAAAATAAGTGGTTAGAAATAAAGAAAAGAATTATGTAGTGTGTAAGAAATCCTTTTACGATTACGACATGGCAAAATATTATATATATATAAGCCCTACAGTGTTTGTACACACATATTACGTTTACTGTAATAACATTTATCTATTCTCAACCCTCAACCACTGTTCCTTACCTGACCTGTAAAACGTCTGTGACACACGTCTATAAGGCTTCTTGAAGCCATCTTTAAACCGTGTGTAACATATCTTTAATATTTCTATAAGCGATATCTAACACGTCTATTAAAAATCTTCTAACACATCTGTGTTATCTACAAAGACGCCTCCTGAGACGCCTTTAACCTGTCTTTAAGATGGCCAGTTAGACCGTTTTAAGATATCTTCAAGACAACTCGTTTTTTCACAACCCAGATAGCACATGACGCCTTGAAAACGGCTTAAAAACGCCTTAGACCTAAAATAGCCGTAAAATAGACGCCTTTAATACGTCATGTGTTATCTGGGAAGACACGCTCACAGGCTCTAGATAGGCTGTTCACAGGATATTACCAGACGTTTTCAAGACGACATGAACGTCTGAATACAAACATTTTCATGACAGTCACAAGACGTACATGTGTTATCTGGGTATTTTGTAAAATACTTTAGGCATATTCTGTGATAAGGGGTAATCTTTTTGATTAGAAAGATTTAGTATAGAAATGCCAAAAATTAAGGGATTGCTTACCCAGCGTAACCATGATCCTCGTAAGCCTTGTTAATTTAGGGTTAGAATTTACATCAAGTCGTACGTTATGTTCAAGTCGTGTGCTTTGATAAGCAGCTTTCACTTGATCGTTGAGTGAAATGTAATCTTCGAAATGTGGCATCTGAATATAATATGAAAGGTGTATTAATACTATCACTTGCATACAATAAAGACTGTAGTATCCTTGTTATTATTTTCAAGCTCCGTATGGCTATAATTTACATATGACTTAATTTGACGATGCAGAGAACGCGAACACGTATAACGACTGCAAAAGTATTCGGTGCACAATAATTTTATCTTCACAAAGCTTATATTAAAGAAAGTAAAACATACAAATAAATCAAATTTGTTCAAAACATGACCAAATAATGTGTTAATGATTTTCTTAGATTCATTCGATGTATACTGCGAGTTAGGTTTTTAAAAAATTCTAATTAAAGAACAATTTTTGCAATTCTTTGTAATATAAGGCCCTCAACCAAAATTTCTATTTATACTGAAAATAACAATAACAAATAGTTTGAAGTCCCTTTAGGAACAATGATTGAGAAAGATGAAGCAACATAATATATAAATTGAGAAAATGAGTAACTGATGAGGGAAATTCATTGTGTGATTCTGATATCGCTAAGTAGTAGTAATAATGTCGTTAATGGGATTCGGACACTTGCGACAATGCATCACAATCACTTTTTAAAATCTGTTAGATATGCATGCAATTGAACAATAGTTTTTTTATTTACCGTTTCTACTTATTGTACGTACAAACATGTACATACGTACCCAAAAGCTATTCAAAATCGATTTTCTTACAAACGAAAGGTAACAAAAACAAATTTTATTCTAAATGTTCGATGTCTTTACACATAGAAATATCATTCCCGTTCAGTTGCACAATTTTTCTCACATTCTATGTACATACATACCTACCGATGAAAACTAAATTTTCATTAATTTTCTATTCTGTTTAAGAAAGTTTTGAATTAATATGTTTTTTTTATTATGACCACTCCTACTGATTGTAAAGGCAAGTAGTACATGCATATCAAATCAATTGTTAAAATTTATTTTCTCGTCCACAAAGCTCTATTTAAAAAAAAATCTATTCTGCATTTTATTACTTTGTTTTACAAGGACAGTTATCTCTTGTTCAGTTGGACATTAATTCGAAAGCAATATCCGTCCATTTGAAGACGATCAAAACATAACGAGGTTTTAATTTATCAACATTGTTCTACTCATATAAATCTTGTATTCGTAGTCTTCCAATTAGTTCATTTTGACTAATAACTCAATCTACGTTATTCAAAAAGTAACTACAATAATAATCGCTTAAAAAATGCATACGTCTCTTTCTACTACCATTTCCTGAGGTACATGAGGCATAACAATTTCAGTTCGCTTGTTCAAAATATCTCAATATTTGGTCAGTTTTTAGTATTTATCGTTTATTATAACTGAAATCATTCCTATTATGTCAAATGATTCGTTGACTGCGGACATACAGTAATTTACTCGTTTAATTTAAAGTACTTTTTAAAGAAAAAATGTAAATAACATAAAGATCTACCGCTTCATACTAAACCACAAATACGTCATTTAAAACATCATTATTTCAAAAATTATTTTTAGAAATGTCCTTTTACGCTACATTATATTATATGCTTATTAGACTGATTTAATTACGAAGTGTGCATGAATGAGGTATCCAAACATTGAATAATTTAACACATATTTATTGACTGTAATTGTATTTAAGTAGAATCATGTGATACATAAAATAATTCTAAATATGTTAGACTTAAATACCATGGCCATAATTACGATTTCTAATGACAAACACCAACACGAATTAATACAAAAATTTAACTATATTGAAATAAGATATTTACAAAAAAAAAACAATTGATTTGTTGAAACTTAGTACTGTCTAATACGCAAACATTACTGAAATAACCACGAGCTTGACACGCGTTATCTTTGCTAAAAAATACCTCTATCTGTTACATGTAACGTATAAACTCGTATGGAATTATGTAAATGGAAATATTTTCAATTTTCACTAAATATAATGTAAGAGAAGATGATGTTAATGTATATCTATACATTAAAAAGTACATGGTACTTAGAATTGTTAATAATTACAAATATAATTTGAGTTCAATGAGAAGCATTCATAATTACAAGAATTTATTAATTTCTGTACTTCGTTCTTTTTATTATGATGTTGATATCTTATTTATTGTAGACAATTAAATAATATATTTAATATAAACAAATACCCAAGGCATTCGACGACATGACTTTATCCTTTTAGTTATTGGTGCAACTTCACTGGAGCATATCATGGCGTGTGGCATGCAATTGATTGATGCAGACGATGCAGTGTACCTGACAATATTTTGGAGCCGAAAGAAATAAATAAGGATTTTAGTAGTTTTATCTAAAATTATTTATCCATCTTGTTGGTGGTATAGTTTAGGTTAAGAAAGAGTTTGTTACATGTTACAGTTATTAAAAATCTGAATACTGCAATTAGTTGATATGAAAAATATGTATATATCAACTATATTGCTTTGGAATATGCTGCCAACTGCTAAGAATTTATTAATTGCAAAACACAATAACGATTCTAAAGAAATGAACCAAAGCAAGTATAAGTATAAACATATTATTTATGAATGATCGAAGTGAATCATTTTATAATTTTTTGATTACAGTAAGTATGCATTCGCTACTCGTTAAAAATCTAAACTTTACAATAAATATCGATACGATTAATTTGAAGTTGTACAAAATTATGAATACGCAAGATCAGTTATGAACATGTGCTGGTGGAGACATTTCAAATGACTACATATACATTGCAAACTACAAACACATTAGAAAAAGTACCGGAACAGGCGATCCCTAGAAAGAACGATTCGTGTGCTCTTCGCGAACTGTTTGCGTGTACCAGTGGAGACGCACCTTTAAAGATGATAAACGGACACATAGAAATCTGTTCACTCTCGATGTTCCAGTAACGGATTCAACACTGACCACCTAAAGTGTCTCTGCTAGTTCAGACAATAGGAAAACAGTATTGCGCAAATTACTGGTTGTATAGTACTATAAATTATTGTCCGTGTATACCAAACATTTCAAAATCAGAAAATTCTGTTATTTCAATTTTTGCCTGTTATTTAAAATAGTGAAGTGGTTGTTTAGGTTGATAAAATTGATGAACCCCGCTGTATATTTCATTTTCAATTAACACTCAGCACTTGCTAGCGTGAAATTCTGCGTTTACACCTATTCAAACGCAATCACAAATAGATTTTATTTATAAATAAAAGTACTATGCAACTACTTATTAGAAGTATGTATATAAAATGAAAACGCGTATTAAAATAAAATACATTTTTTTATTTATCTTCATACAGAAATTAGAGAATCCAGAATATAGTCGTCAAATTGTTAATAATGAAAGTTTTAATAATTTACTGATTCGAATAAATGTTTACTTTACTGTTTATTACTGTAATGTGTATGTATACGTATATTATGTTTTCCTATACTGTATTACATAGGTAGTAGGTACTTCACAAGGTCAATAATATAATACTGTAGCTACTGGCATCTGTAGGTAGATTTTAAGCTTTTCAAAGAATTTACTAAGCTCATCATACATATGTGTGTAAGTTACATACATTCGGAATTTTAACATCTACATTCATTGAATCCATTTTTCTTCTTATAGACCAGCTAGTTGTATTTAGTCAACATTCCTGAAAATTAAAAAATTAAAATGCATATTACATATAATTTAAATTGAAAAGTTATTTCATTAGTATTGATGTATAACAAAGCAATTCATAACCATAAAGCAAGCAAAAAATGGAAAGGACCCAAATGTACATACTTTAGCATGTTTAGAAATTTGTGTTTTACTTGTTTGTTGTACTGGAAAGAAACAATGTTCATTCATTTGTAAGTCAAAATATCTGAATTGACGAACATTATGATTCTTTTTAGTCTTATCCCATTAAATTCGTAAACATGACAAGTTATAAATGTAGTCTTATAAACTTATAATGTAATCTTATAAACGTAGTCAGTATAAATGATCAAATATAGCTGTACCGTAATATTTATAGTTTCAGAACTTACCTCAAACTACCAACTTTTTATTCAATAACCAAAAATGAAGTATAATTATTTGCCAATCCACTGATGCTAAATTAAAGCTATTTATGTAATCACAATTTCTTGATTTCCTAAATCTTCATTGCCAACATCTTATTTACTTTTGCATTTTTATATTTTATATTTAATACTTTAAGTAATACACAGTTTTTATAAAAATAATATACTTTTTTTAAAAAGAACAATATACATGTGTACCCTCTAGACTCTAGACAATTACGTTATGTTTGCAAAACATATTTTTTATATAAACTGACTAATCATTTGTGGTAATGAAATGATGTTGTTATATTTAAAAAAAAAATGATAATGTTAGTAATACAAAATACGAACACAGACGAGTACACCACAGTCATCTAGATTTACAGCATGACGTTTAACTCATCGAGAAGTTGTGTACTATGTACCTTACAGTTTAAATATTGCTGTAAATATACTACAATACAGTGTCCTGCAGTAACAGGACAAATTAGAGTACGCAAAACGATAATTATTTGTTTCTTCATGAATAATGAGCAAGCACATAGTTCTTAAATAAATACTTTTTTTTTCTTGGAATATAAAATACATTAACGAACAGTATTTACTTCTATTAATAAACTAAATCATAAAGGCAATTAAGAACTATTTATTATACTGGTAACATCAGTAAGTTCGTAAATATTATTTACTGGCTAACGAAAAGTTGAGTTAGTAAATATTAGTTAAACATAACATGCAACTATAGCTTTTCTTTCTCCTTCAAAATGAAAACAACATAACTAATCATACACAAAACAAACGGATAAATGGTACATTAACCCTTTGACAGAGTAATAAGATATTAAGGAACAAAGAGACTCTTCTTTACAAAATGTATCGTCACAACTCAAATTTTTTGTTCCATCACAAACTAAGAGCTAAAATCTCGATGCATAGCCTTGTCAAATCTTTTTTAAACTAATAAGTCTAACATATAATGTTGTGCTGGAGTGTCTTAAATACGTAGTTCTGAGCTTGATGACTTGTTAATGTCTCTCGTATTTCACTGTGAAAGGGGTTCGTACACATTGCAACTTTAAGCATACAAAAATTATTACATCATATCATCATAAAAATCTGATGCACTACGTATGCTACATGCATCCTCGTCTCGAGGAACATTTATGTCTACATACACAACACGAAATGTATTCGTATATCCCGAGCCTTGTTTCCATCCAGTGACAACGACGACTGAATCTCCTGTTTTAACGAAACCACGACCTTTGCCAAAGTTTAATCCACATTGAACGCGTACGTCCACATCTTTCACCCAATCAGACAAAGGCGCACCTGTAAACAATAAAAAGAAAGATTACATTTTTCTTGTCGAAGTATTTACTGCGTTTCGTTCGAGTGTTATCTGGTCTCTTAAAAACACTGTACTGTAACAATTATAATTTTTTAGTTACACAAAGAAATATTGGTTTTCTTATTACTTTTTAATATTAAACAGAACGAACAGTTAAAAGAAAATTACAGTTTTTAGTAGTCTTATATGTATAATGCATCGAAGATAGATTAAAATTGCATAATAAACATATATTAATATGAACATGCTTGTTGCTTCAATATAGTATAAAGAACGTCTACCAAAGTTCTGGCTAACTTTTTTAATGTATCCTGCCTACATGAAACGAAAACATAAATAAAATTCATAAAAGTGCAATATAATTTAACGAAAGTAATGCACAATAATAATAAAAAAACATAATCACGTTGTTAATACATATCGTTAAATTATCTGTATAATTGTTACAGTTCTTTTCATTGGCGTCGCCCGACAGAAAAAAATGGCTTTTGCACTACTCTAGAAAAAAATTGAACCTCCCTTCCCTCGCCTAAAAGAAACAACTGGTTTTGCCCCCCCCCCCCCCCCATGAGGAGTTTTAACGAACCTAGTATAAATCTCAAAGACTAAAAGATTGCATATTGAATGCAATATAGCTAATATTACTGTTCTACATACACATTCTGAATAAGCAACAAGTTACAATCCCTTAAATTTGTTTTCTTTCTAATTCTACCGCAAAATTTCTAAGATTACCGATCTAATTAAGGGTTTGTACAGACGAGAACTTTAAAACCAAAGAAATGATTCAAATTTTGTGTGGTTTTCTAACAGAAGAATTATATTATCTTTCAAATTTTTTTTTAAATGACGCAAGTTACTTCCTATAACGTGCACATTGAAAAAGTTATAGTTAATAGTTCATTACCTTCATAGTAAAGTGGTAAAATTCCACGATAAAGATGTGCTTGCCGTGCAACTTGATGGAACCTGGTCACTGCAATAATTGGGCAGCGTGGTCTATATTTTGCAATTAGATGTGCAGACCGACCGCTAGTCGTAATTACTATAATAGCGCTAGCTAAACACTTCACAGATGCTTCTACAGCAGCAATGGCAACACCATGTGTAGCATCGATTGGAGGAATAGCTTTGTTTGAAAGATCATGGAATATCTGTGTTTGCCAGATAGCAGCTTCTGCTTCCTTGCAAATGTTAGCCATTGTACGCACACATTCCAATGGATAGTCTCCTTTGGCAGTTTCACCTATAACGCAGGTTATTTTCATCTTTTAGATGCAAAATTCATTTTCTGAAAAATACTCTTCTGATATTAAATACAATGTATAGATATACAAATGAGATACAGAAAACACCTAATTATCTTGTGGCCTTATATAATACCGATTTCGTACGAAAGTAATATTTTTATGCTTATTGCAGTTAAAAACGATAATATTGGGAACCTTGTTGAACTTCAGCGCTAAGTTAAAAATGAACACAATAAGTCTTTATTCAGAGATAACGATTTTGGTCGCGCAGAAGAGAAACCGGCAACACAGGGGCCGATACCACGCTGCTCATTTTGATCACGGAAACGAATGTAAACGATTCCATTTGATCTTACACAACTAAAAACTGCATTGTCAAAACTGTCGTGTCTGAACAGAGCCTAAAGATACAATCGTTTACTACTTGTTCGCTTTAGAAAAACTAAGTCACTTTTGCATTTCTTTCTTTTCTCCGTGTTGATTTCTATGAAAATAATCAGAGCGATTATAAGCTCCCAAATTGTAAGACAAACATTTACATTGAAAGTTCAGTGCATTGTGTACCTTATTTGTTTATTTATTATTTTATGTATTAGTGTAATATTAATGTCAATACCCGATAACATGACGCAATCTGCACCATCGAGAATGGCATTCGCAACATCAGATGTTTCTGCTCGAGTTGCGCGTGGTTTCTTCACCATAGACTCAAGCATCTGCGTGGCACAGATTACTGGTTTACCAACTTTGTTGCATCTACTGATCATGCATTTCTGAGCTAGGAATACTTTTTCCGGTGGTATCTCAATACCAAGATCACCACGTGCAACCATGATACCATCAGAGGCATCGATAATTTCATCGAGATTTGTCATGCCCTGTTGATTTTCAATCTTGGATATTATTTTAATATTCTTTCCCTTCTCGCCAAGAATCGACCGAATTTCGGCCAAAGCTGCAGCGTTTCTTATAAAGGAAGCAAAGATCATATCAACTTCTTGTTCAACACCAAACTTTAGATCAGCCTTATCTTTTTCAGAGACAGCTGGCAGATCCACTGGTACACCAGGTAAATTAACACCCTTGCGGGAACCTAGCATCCCACCGTTCTCAACGGTAGTCATAACGTGATCAGGATCTAAAAAATTCAGGAGAAAAAAATTAAAAATTCCTACTTTAGAGTGGTGATAAGTCTAGACTGGCAGATCATTATGGCATAAGAAGAATTCTTCTCAAAAAAGAATGACAGTAGACAGTAGTCCTAAATCTAAGTATGCTGAACCCATGAATTATACACCTCGGCTTCAAATACCGATATATACAGGGTGGTCTATTTAAACCTTTACACACAATTATCTTCCGCATTATTCGTTATTCCACCTAGTATGTCCACCTAGATGAAACTTATGACCATCATGAGATGTCCTCCTTCAAACAAAGTAAGTTCAACTTGAAGCATTTTTCGAAATAACTAATAGTTCGAGAAATAATTGCGGGTAAAGATTTAAATAAGAATTCCTAAAAGCAGAAATCATAATCCACTATGCCAATTTGTATTGTGTTTAATAAATATACATGTGTATAATACACATATGTGTTACAAATTTGGCCATGAAAATCATTTCATTAATACATTTCAATACAACACAAGCAAGTACAAGTAACGAAGATTTTGAATAAACAATTAAAAAGAAGTAAATTAGAATAAAATAAACTGCTTTTTAGAGAAACTATAAAAAATAATATAAAAGTTTAATTTCAAAATTTATCTTATTATTTTTCATATTTTAAGATACAAAAGGTTGAAGGTCATATTTATACGTTCCCTGGTGCGGGTTTTAAGAGATGAAAAGAGTCACAAGATTATTTAAAATGTTCGTAATAGATGAATGTCATTGAGTAAAAAAAAACTTAAATACATTAATAATTAGATAGCAAAAAAAAATAAAAAGGTCGCTCAACAACAATATTCATATAATTATTTAATTATATGAAGCAATGTTTTATAATTAATATATAATAAAAATTCTAAACTTATTCGTTGCTCTATGAATGGACCAAAACTCTAAATTTTAAAAAGTGTATCATTAAAAAAGCCAAGGAAATGAAAAACAATTTTGTCATTACACTTACTAATTCTGAAAAAAAGCAGTGATCTACATGCCTAAAAACTTTAGAACGCACATAAGAATTACGTTCTTTAAATTTTGACTTACAAGTTCTAACATGTAAGATATACATGTAGATAATTGTATAATGAAACTTAATTAAGTACTCCTTATTTAAAATGCAGTGAATGATACATACTGACTGCGGTAACGATGAGAGAAATCAAGCCATCATCGACAAAGACACGATTTCCAACCTTCAATACTTTGGAAATATTTTCATAATCCACAAAAACTAAGTTCTGGTTACCCTTTTCCATGTACGATTTATCGGTGGTCAATTTGAAAGTTTGACCCTTAGTTAATTCAACCTCAGCGGACCCGCCCTAAAAAAATAACAAAAAGTAAAATAATAAATGTCTTTTTAAATAAAATAAACAAAGTACTGTCCCCAGCAAAACGTATTACACTAAAGATAAATATAATAAATGTTTCGCTAATAGAGAAAGGAACAGAATGAAAGTTACCTGTATGTAAATAACACATTAATATAAAAATACAATGACTCAAACATTCGATCACATAGTGTTGAAATAACAATTAAAGTTAAAAACGTTTATGCAATCCCTATTTATGTATCATTATCTTTACTTTCATCATCCTTCTGTGATATATTCTTCCTAATTTAGAATAAAATTCCAAGGTTGGTACGTAATTCGGTGAACGAATGTATGAATCACTGAGGACACCTTTGTCCATTTGCAAAATATAAGTGAATTAACACTCTGTAACCCAAATTAATTTTTACTATTTTAAAAATGTTTATCTGTATATGTATACTGTTTACCAGTTGAACACATGAAACTTATTGTATGAAACGGATATGGTCATTTTTTTTAAAAGTATACTTTTTTGTTCATAACATTATTCTGTGTAATATCCTTTACAATACTTTATGAGAAATCTTCTCAACGTTTAGTGTGCGTTTTTCAAAGAACGCTGTTAGTTACTGGTAAGCGGTGCCAAAAAAATACAATACAGTTGGACATTTCGGGCTAAGGTCACACCGAACAGTACTGCATTTGCAAATGTACAGCGATATTCTAATTTGAAGTTACATTAGTTAACTGAAGAAACGGACGTTCTACAGTAGCTTAATAATAGTAAAACTGCTATGTGACTGCACAGGCATACTGGGCAGTAGAAGGTCAAGTAAAACACTGCTTACGCCTTCCAGAAGTCCTGTACGAATTTCAGGGCCCTTCGTGTCCAGAGCGATCGCCACAGGAGTGTTAATGCCCCTACTAGTAGAAAAGTTCTTCTGCGCTGCTCTGACATTGCTAATCGTTTCAGCATGGTATTCATGCGATCCATGAGAGAAATTCATTCGTGCGATATTCATACCCGTGTCGATCATCTTCTCGAGGGTTTCAACGGACCTCGAAACGGGTCCGATCGTGCAAATAATTCCCGAAAGTCGAACGAAAGATGCACGACTTTCAATATCTAGGGCACACATGTGATCCAACTGGGTTTGCGCATACAACGCTTGAGTGTTCGGCGTCCCAGCCATCTAGAAACAAAAACGTGTGACGATTAAAGAAAGTTCTTATACACCAAATTTCGAAATTGAAAAAAGTTCGTACTGTTTTTGATCAACGGGATGTATTCAGTTCAAATTTTTCTTATTACTGTGATAAACAATATCCACGTCGATAAAAGATTTATTCTGCTTATTTTGCATATACAGTTAGTCATATCATAAAGTATGCACCTATTCTATACGTGCGGCGTATTTAAATATTTACTTAATGTTAAAGTCGAACTTAACAATTCTGATTTACATTATGATAAACGTTCATATACTACTTATTAGGTCGTTTCCAGTTGAGAAGTTATATACAGTTCAATTTAAAAAGTATTGTTACTTCTGAAAGTGGCAGAAAACGGGTACACTAAATTTGATTTAAAAAACTAGATCGATCTATGCATAAAAAAATATTAAAAGTATAATAAGATCGCGGACATATCCGACGAAATATTAACTTATAGTATTTAACCTTTTCGGTACGGACAATAAGTAGCTATACAAGTGGTCCATAGAATGCTCGTTGTGGCCGAAGAACGAAGAACGAGTATACAAGTGGTCTTCAAAATGCTATTCATATGATTTCTACTCTTCGGCCGTCAGGAACAAAGTTGCGCTTTGGTGTCGCCGTACCGAAAAGGTTCAAATAAATATACAGTTTGGATGGATACCCTCGTGCGTGTTCTTTTACTACTTCTACTAATAACAATACTTTTTTAAATCGCTCATGTGTAATTATGCAACTGAATTCATCTTAATCTAAAATGCATTAACCATATCCTACACACAATTAGTACTTATATCTTCAACATTGATTAAATATTTCAAATATGTTTCACGTAAAATTGGCACATACTTCTGTAAGTAACTGTAGTGATATCATTTTTCATTTGTTTCGATACTGCATTATTTAGTTAATATTATTAATTATATTATTGATTAATAATATCCAAAGTTTTTTACAAATATGTCCTGTAATCTCAGACTTACTTTGACTTATATTAAACTGGTTGATAAGCAACTGTTTTTGAAATGATGAAGAAGTGTATACTGCAATTAACATAATTTACAAGCTTGGAAACTCCGATAGAAGAGTTATAAAATTATGAAATAGTGCGACGCAGTCGAAGTTAAGTACATATTAAGAAAGTTGTAACTGCTTAAGTTTATAGTACAAAATCGCACGAACTTTTTTCAGTACCTAATACTTTATGGCTGCTTTAAAAAAAACCATTCAACAGCTTAAATTGAAAGCACTACGTAGTTCACACGCTATATAATAACTACAAATAGCAACGCAGTGCAAATTATAAAGAGAACATTAAAACTTTGTTTATTCTCGCAAACAGAATTCATTGTGCCTTGTTTGACTTTATCTGTGTTAATTACCCAGGAATAGATCTCGCAAAAGACAACTAACACCAATCAAGTCTGCACTAGGGTACACTTAATCTACTTTAAGAAAACCTAATTTCCAGGGGTCTGCGGGTACCTGAAATCACGGGATTCCCGAGCCTCGGCTCGGGTCGGGAGAAGTCGGGCGAGATCGGCCAGGATCCTAACATTATAAATCACATCGGGATCCCGACAAATGTCGGATCTCGTAAGATCTTCGGGTCCCGAATGATATTTTCAAGAACTTATCCATCTGACAGCAAAAAATTAAACTATACGATACAATGCCATATTGAATCTTCAATTTCATAATATGAACTATAAATGCTAAATAAGTTAACGATTCCAAATGGAATCCTGCGGTTGCCAGGGTTAATAATACAATTTTTAGTACACATTTCTTCGTACGTTATGTTTTTATTAAGTAAAATAAATAAAGTATAATATAGTTAAGCATAGTTTAATTTTTTGCTGGTAGATGCATAAGTTCTCGAAAATATCATTCGATTATATACTGTCATACGATTATACGATTTATACTGTCGGGATCCAGGCCAATCCCGGCCGATCTCGCCCGACTTCTCCCGACCCGACCCGATCCCGAAATGTCGGTTACTCGCACAACCCTGCTAATTTCACAGTTTTCAGTGCAAAATGATTTGTCAAGATCAGTAAGAGAAAATAAGTATGATATACATATATTCATTGTCATTTTGTCTCACGAAGGAACAGTTCTTTTAAACTTGGCCGTTTGATTTCATGAAACACCTAATAATAATTACCATGTACATACTTACAAGGTGTGACAAAAAAGTTTCGAGGAAATTCATTTCAGAATTTTCATCAGATCTTCCAAGTAGTCTCCTTGACACTGTACATAAGCATTCCACCATTAGATCCATTGATCCTAACATTTCTGGTATCTGTTTTAGTACCCGCGTCGCATTACAAGGTGTAACAATAAAATTTTGAGAATAAGTTTGTTTCTATCGAAGTAGACGTAACCGGTTACATTGTTATCACTTTGACAGAAACAAAATTATTCTCGGAACTTTATTGTCACACCTCGTAATACAACTTTGGTACTCAAACAGATACCAGAAATGTTTACAATCAATGGATCCCACTCTGAAACGCGTGTGTAGTTTCAAAGGAACTACTTTGAAGGCAATCATCTCATATCTGTTTAATTTTTTAAATCAATTTTGCAAATGAATTACTCTTGAAACGCTATTGTCACACTCTGTGTGTAACATTTAAATACGTCTTAATTCCGTAATATAAAATAATTCAAACAGAAAGAAAAGCTACGCAAGCGACTGTGCCTGGAAAATATATTCCAGTTGATAGAACAAATCATAGAAAAACGTTTGCGAATCTAGAGCCAAGTAGTATTCTCAATTAATATAAATAGAGTGTATTCGCACACGAATAATCGCAGGCACTGAATACACAAATGTAATAAGCAACAAAATGAATAAATAGTATTAACTCTGAAGGGAATAATGAATAGATGCGTGAAATTGGTAATTATGCAGTTTAGCAGCGTTTCTCAATTTTAGTTATTTTGTTATGGTTTTTTTTTAAATAGCTTCATTTTATCACTAAAACGGATAATGAAGTGGAGGAAGTCGAAAAGTAATGTACATACTTTTATCATTTTTGTTTAAAAAACGTGGGAAATTGTTCAGATTCATACACTCATCACCGATTTCAATTACCTTTGTTTGAATATGTTATGGAACTCAACATTTTGAACAACTTTTTCCTGTACATATTAGCACCGATTGGGCTTAGTTTCCGAGATATTTGCAAAGTACTGGACGCGCCAGCATGGTGTGACCGCTTATCGAAACGCAACACATAGGTATAACGGGCGAATACGTTGCCACGGACATGCATGTATAGGCAACATTCAACGCAGTAGTAGCGGCGGCAGTTGTTTGCAAATATCTCAGGAACAACATTACTTTTTTGACCTCTCCCACCTGACTTTACGTTTTAGTGATAGAATGAAGCTATTTAAAAGAAACCGCAGTGAAATAGCTGAAATTGAGAAAGGCCGCTGAACTGCATAATTACCGTGAAACTAATTTGACCACGAAGAAAAAGATATATAAAAATACCAAACGGATAAATAAATTCTCATTACTATTACAAGTATTTCTTTTTAACGGATCCATTTTCAATATCGAGTCAACAATCACCGTTAATAATGTGATAAAAACTGGATTGGTTAATTATTGGACACTACTTGTCTTTACTTTTGAATATCTCATCCTTTTGTCTACGGTGCAACATATATTATTACCAATGCACTGCTATTCACGAATCAATCACAACAAAAGCGAAAGTCTCGAACTAGTACACGAACATTTCGCAGGTACATATTATGTATATGACAACGACGCACGTTTACATCGAATGTATGTTCTTATTTACAAATATTCCTCTATCTGGCAAACGTTTTCGATGGTTTGTAGAGGGTGATTCAGGACCATTTCTAACATTTTGGATAACACTTGCTTCGATAACACTGATATGTAGGGGAAAGGTAGCAAACACACAGACAGCAATATCATTCCAAAAACAACTCGTTCACTAAACTGAGTGGTGAGGATAGTACCTTATCGTCGGCGGTAATCCAGACCATTTTGGCAGGCTGCGTAAATAAACAGGAGACAGGAATTAATGGCAATATGGTTGCGATGATACCGCGGCTACATCTGGCTGCATTTTTCGGTGCATGAAGTGCGCACTGCTTATCGGGCAAGCAACGGAAGTATCGCGATGTGCGGAAGTAGAGAGGGGAATTGAAGACGTGCGATGGACGCAACAAACGATAGCGGTACCAATGCATGCGGCAGGTATACCAAAATTCATGTGGACACATTCTATTACAAATTTCTTGTTAATACGCGGCGCGTGCGGAAAGTATGGTCCGGTCAGTAATTTAAAAAACTAGTGAGGGGAAAAATATGTTAATTACGGCGAACGATACCTTCACAGATGCATTATTTTTCCCCATACACTGTGTATGTGCAAAAAGTTTTCGGGCTGATTTGCAATCGACAATGCTGATTGCATTTTTCGATTCGCGGAGAATCGTTCATCGGGAATTTGCACCACCACACAGTGGTTTAGAACGCTATTTTAGGAGTTCAAATTTGAAATATTTTAATTTCATTCCAAATGAATTCCAGTGTCTTTATCGAGCCAAATTTTCTTTTCTGTTTAAATTTTAAGCTAGATCGATCACAATTTTTACATTTCTCAACAATTTTCTTACAAAACTTTTGCACGTTGGTTCGGATAATGAAACAGTTTCCATCGATTGAGATCAGTTTGTTTTGAATTATCAATTTTTGAACAATTATACTGATATTAATATTACTTAAAGGCAGCAGAAGTAGTGATTTCACGCGTCATATTACAGTTTTTTTAACCCCTTCAGGGTCACCAGCGCTCGGTCTCACACCTCGATGATTGTCACTTTATTTTTGGCTCACAAATTACTTACGATGATAACACCCCCCCCCCCCCCCCCCCCA